ATCTGTGGGCACACTTTGCAGCAAGCTTTTTCGCAGGGATGACACCTTGATTGAATTTTGGAGGGGTTTGTTTTTGCTCTGACAAGAATGTCCTTCAGGTTTTTATCCCTGCGGTACACCATGTGAGATGGCTCCGCGAAAATTGAAGTTAGTCGTTTGCTTTGCCTGATGATGTTGAAATGGCGGGAAAGGATGTTGATTCGTGGCACTGATGAGGAATAAGTTAGTACAAGGTTTGTTTGGGAAGTCATTTTAGATACTCTGTTTGGCTCCTTAATTTTATCATTCCCGTTCCCGTTGCAAGCACGTAGTATGTCATCGTCAATAATGTCTTCGGGATAATTTTGTTTCAATAAGGAATGCTTTATGTGTTCTGCGTGTCTGTTAAATTCCTGCATATCCGTGCATATTCTTCGGTACCGGAAGGCCTGAGATTATGGAATACCCATTTTGCAATGCTTTGGATGGCTGCTGTTGAAATGTAGGTACATTTGACGGTGTGTAAGCTTTTTGTAAAGGTTTGTTGACAAGCGGTCATTTTTGACCGTGACAGTTACGTCCGAGAAATTGATGCTGGTTTTGAAAATTTTGTGTGTGAATTTAATTGACGGGTGGAACTTGTTAAAGTCCTCTATGAAGCGGAAAAGACTTCCTTCATTTTGGTTCCATATCATAAAAATATTGTCTAAAGATCTTCTGTAGTAGAAAGGTTTCAAGGTGCATCCCTCAATGAATGGGATTTCAAGTGAGGCCATGAAGGTGCTTGCAAAGTTTAGGGCCATTTTTGTGCCCATTGCAGTGCCACTAACCTGAAGGAAGTGCTTGCCATTGAACTCAAAATGGTTATAGTTTAGTACAAGTTCAAGAAGTGTAAACAGTACTGGCCACTTACACCAGTTGATGAGTCAGATTTTACATATTCAGAAACCGTAGCCGTTATTCCGTCATGGTGGGGTATGTTGGTGTACAGTGAGCAGACATCCATGGTCACCAGAAAACTACCGCCTGAGATGTTGAGACTTAAAGTTTCGCAGATGAATTAGTTGGTGTCCTTTAGGTAATAGGGGAAATTCAGGGGGATGTCTTTTTTAAGGAATAGATGAATTCTAATGTCTTTTCTGTTGATGTGCTGTTACTGGATACTATCGGACGTCCCGGACTGCCTGGCTTGTGTATTTTGGGGAGCGAATAGAATCCACTGGGAACAGAATGGGCCGGTAACATTGCTTTTAACATTTTGCCAGCGATTTTCTCGTCCCAGCGGAGATTATTTAGGGCTCCTTTTATCTCACTTTTAAATTTGGAAGTCGGGTCCATTGAAAGTTCTTTGTAGAAGTTTGTGTCTGATAGTTGTCGCTCCCCTTCCTTTAAGTTGTCCGACGTGTTTCGAATTACTATGCAGCCCCCTTTATCAGCAGGTTTGATGGTCATTTCAGCGTTTTTTTCGGAGTTCATCGTGTACCCTTCATTCTGACTTTGATAGGTTGTTTCGAGATGGCCGATTTTTTTATACGCTCTGATGATATCTGTTTGAACTGCTGATATATACATATCGAGGTGTTTGTCCCTCTGCTCACCAGGACACCATGATTTGTCACCACCAATCAATCTATTCTCGTCCGTACAGTCCTTCCGATCATGAAAGTATACACGGAGACGCAGATTACAATCTAACCGCACCAAGTCTTCTTATTTACATTACATTGGTTCAAATAACTTCCCCTATACATTCCTTGGCATTATTGTCTGTCAGATATCATTAATATTGTGTCAAAACACGAAAAAATGAGCCCTTATGTATACACTTCTTTTCCTTTATTCATTAATGACGGTCTCATACTGGCAGACTTGGTACCGTTAGGTTGTATACGAGGGACTATTGGTCAGCTGCCAGCTCGTAATAAATTCACATGCTACGTGACACCACACAGGCTCATAAAAAAGCGTTCCACACTCACCGCCATGGCTACAGATAGCGCTGACTGACACTCCCACGTTTAAATTCACATATAAATTCAATAAAGTGACTGGGGGATAGTCGCCGTGATAGCTCAGTGGTAGAGCATCTAAGGCGTTATTTGAAGGTCGTAGGTTTGATTCCTGCTCACAGCAAGTTATTTTTTCACCCACTTTTCTTTCTTCTTATTTACATTACATTGGTTCTAATAACTTCCGCTATACATTCCTTGGCATTATTGTTTGTTAGATCTCACATATGTAGATATGTATATATATATATATATATATATATATATATATACCGTATTTACTCCCATAATCCTCACACTGGCATAATTCTTGCACCCCCTCCCCCCCCATCGGCCAACAAAAATACGATTTATTTTTTCCTTGAGTAATTATCGCACTCCCGAAAACTGCCGCAATATTGTCGTCTGCTCTTTTCAGCCACTGATAATAATAGCGCGCGTCATCTGGCGCCAACTCTTAAGCATCAAGCGTACTATTACTGCACAAAGATTCAATCTAATAAAAGCAAGCCAAAGAAGCAAGTGCGTGTTGCGACATGTTTTGTATGTTGTGTCGGTTATCTTGTCACGTTATGGTGAGATACTAAAGCTACACGGCCGCTTTCAAGTTGAAAGTGATAGATCATGCACTAAATCACAATAACAGGGCCGCCAGTAGGCTTTTCGGAGTCTACGAGTTTTGTGTTCACTACTGGTGACGGTAGCTAAAAGCCACCAAGAAGCGTTGGGGCTGCCGTGTGCCTAAAACTGTGATTGACCGTAAACTTTATTTCTTCAGAAGGAAACTGCGGATGCGGACGATTCTATTAAATAGCCATCAGCCCAATACTGACGTCCTACGCTTACCTTTTGAGGCCTCCTGTTGCGCGGCGAATGCTACCACTACGCCCGCAACACCCACAAGCTTTGCGTATGGTATTCTAATTCTTGACAATTTGCTTGCACTTTTAGTGTCTCAAATAAATCTTGCCTTGTCTTGAACCAGTGCTTTTAATGTTGAGGTAAGTTTTAATTAGTACTTCTCAAAGCTTGCTGTTAGTTGCTGGTGTGAGAATCCCTATTTGTGGCCATTTCGTTTTCTTTTTTGCACTGTACGTTTTCGTGGAAAGTTTTTCTCACGTAATTCTCGCATTCCCCAGCTTTGCATCGGTTTTCCGTCAAAAAACCGGAATGCCTAATGGAAGAGTACGCTGACAGTTTTTCAGACCTGCCTGGAAAGACGGAGCTCGTAGAGTGTTCACTACGTCTTAACTCCGAAAAACCAGTGCACACTCCTCAGTACCCCTTACCGCTTGCCTTGCAAAAACAAGGTACAAAATGAAGGGACAAGATATGCTAAAGTTGGATACCATTGGGAAGTCCAAGTCACTGTACCATGCACCCATTGTAGTGGTGAAAAAACCAGACAAGACGCTTCGGCTCTGCATTGACTTCAGGCAGCTAAAGAAAATACTCATCCCCAATTGTGAGCCGATACTGCGCATTGATGTCGTGCTTAACATGTAAAAAAAAAAGATGACCCTTAATCGCTAAAACTCACAATGTGCTGTGCACACCCTATTCCCCGCTCTCCTCTCTCTAGAATAGTTGTGAACAACTTTCTTGAAATAGGGGGTAGTGTGATGATATGTGGATGAGCGGGTTCGGATGAACCCGCTCATCACAACAGTGCGCCGTGCGGTGGCGACTCGGTGATGACCTGTGCGACTTTTTGAATTTGTGCACTGTTCGAGGGTGAATCGTGTATGTGCCGTGCGGTGGTGAAGAGGACGGCAATCTGGTGCTCGTGTGGCTCGAGAAAGCATGGCCGTGCGAGAGCTGTGCGCGAGCATCGGAAAGTTCTGGGGCTGTCTTCTTCGCTGGGCATCCGGTCCATGGGCCTACATCCTGGTGCCTCGGCGTAATGAAAGCACTCCCGCCTGTTCCACCACGAGAGGAAGATCGAGCCAGGGATCGGGTACGAGGCCGGGCCAAGCCTAGCCGTTTTGTACCAACGGTCACACTGAGGGTTCAGCCACGACCTAGCGGGGCCTAGTACGTCTTCGCGGAGCAGTTCCAGTGAGCCGGAACTCCGAGATCAACGGCCGCGCCTCTACGTGACCACGTCACTCACCGAGCTACATCATCGGACACTCGACAACTTCGACTCGGGGACATCGTCTGCTACTTCGTCGTCGACTCTGAACTGTATATTCATCTTTTGACTCCCGCACGTAGCGGACAGGATATGGGCTCTTTAACTGTGTTTGTCAACTCTTTTATGTCGTACACATGTGTACATATGTTTTACATGTGCTTGTTCACCTGTGTGCTGCGTCGTTATTTCTGGGGTGTTTCTGAACCCAGATATAACATCACAGTAACAACCGCCAGCTAAATTGCTCCAGCTGCTGCCCCGAGGAAGCCACTGCCACTCGTTTCTTCATCCCTTCTGTCCCCACCCCGTCGAGCTGCAGCACCGGCAACTGCTACTTCGGCTGACACGCGCTCTCCCATAGAAAGCCGGTTGACGCAGCAGACCGTACCATGCTCTTTTTTTTTCAACCAGCAGCCGTGACACTCCCACAATACAAAACGAAAACTGTGGAATTTGCTATAAAACTGATAACATATTTTAAATCAGCACAAGAGCCTATGCATAAGCAAAAGTTTCCTTGCCCCAGGCTACGGATTAAAAAGCTTTTTTTTTTAGTAGCATCTCTCGAACAACTGCCAACGAGGAGCCCAAGTGTCCATTGATGGGTACAGATAATAGTAATCAGAGGATGATGGCGGTGAGCAAGTTATGCTCCTTGTTGCGCACTGAGCCTCCAGTGCAAGGCAACCACCGAGGTGCATGGTTCACATTACACAAGGAAAAGCTGCCTTGCGCATAAACTAGTGCACTGTGTAACATGCCGAGTTAGCAAAAAGAGATTGTTTGCACCATGCTATGTAGCTTGAATCATGAAGAAGAGTAGTAATAAACGATTGATGACTGCGACTGCTGGCCACCAGCCTACACAGACTCACCTTCGCTGGTTGAGCAGGCAGATCTCAGACTGCAGCTTGAAGTACCACTGTGCCAGGCAGCGGTGATCGTCAAATATGCGCACTGACTCCTGGCAGCTGGGCACTGGGCTCAGGGGCTGCAAAGGGGAGCAGCGTTTTCTTCTTTTCTCACAATTAAACGTGGCCGCATGCTAATCAATTAATCAATCAGCTCTTTTTTTCGGACAAGAGTATGTCCTCGGTTAATTGATTGATGTGTGGGGTTCAACGTCCCAAAACCACCATATGATTATGAGAGACGTCGTAGTGGAGGACTCCGGAAATTTCGACCACCTGGGGTTCTTCCACGTGCACCCAAATCGGAGCACACGGGCCTACAACATTTCTGCCTCGATTCGGAAATGCAGCCGCCGCAGCTGGGATTCGATCCCACGACAAGTGTATGTCTCGGGTACGGGGGTAAAAGGCAGATTTGCTCTGCCAGACGAGACCCCAGCACTTGAATGCACCACTCAGAGCATGGTCAAAGAGATACAATATAAGACACCAATAATACATGCCTAACATTTTTTTATACACAGTGAATGAAGTGCATACTTGTACAGCAAGAAATAAAGAGTCGTAACACTACAAGTAACGAAAACATGGAAACATGCGACTGCTACATACACAGCTTATCAATTTTGAGGATTGATAAGTTGGCTCGGATTCTGTCGCTCACAACCACACTTCTACATTGCCCACTGGCAGTACGAGCAGACTGTCGTCACGAAGCCCTTTTTTTTTTTTTTCATTACGAGAGTTGTTTACCAATATTCGTAGAGCGGGATTTGCACGTCCGAAAAACATGGCTTCACTTCCGGGAGCAGTTGTCGCCCTCCTCTAATTTATTAAGTGACCACGATAGGCTCTGTAGCTAGTAAGCTTTGAACCGATGCTTCTATTTGCTTTAGGTTCATGTCATTAAGCTTTGACAACACAGTATTTGTGCTGATTCGGTGCTGCTTTTGAGCTACACTCAAATAATCGATTCTGTAGCGGCTTAGCACATAGCGATGGGTGCTTTTCAAATCTAGGAGGGAATGCATTATGCATTTGTTAGTTTCGTCGTATTTTGACAGCCGCTACCACTTGTCCAGACGCCAGCTCAAGGACACCTTTGGTTTTACACTACCTTTTTCAAATACCGGGCTGGCTAGGATGCTTTGTTCACTGTTGAAACCATGCCTGGCAGCGACGTGGATGACATCCGCACTTATATCCTGATAAATGCGTAGTAGAATGCAAGCAGCTTTAAGCGTCTTGTAGCAGACGCAGGTGACGGGGAGAGCCGAAAACAGACGAAGAGGCTCGCTGATGCCCAAAACGCTGTTCCGCGAAGGCAAAGGCCGCAATCAAAAAAATCTACGGGATGACTTTGGAGTCGGTTCCTCTAGGGAATGAAAGAAACTCCTATGATGTGCAAGCTGCCCATTAGCAGCACTAGCCGCTTTATGCTATTAATAGATGACAGGGTGTGGAAAGATACATTTAGATGTGCTTGCCCTCTTGATTGGTCCAGAACGACTGTAACTTCCACTGCTGCATAAAACTCATGAAACGGTACACCCTACCAGCGGCTCAGAAGGGATACACCCTACCACTGGCAAAAGCAGGGCAGTCTCATTGCCATTACTATCGAGCAATGGGGGCCTCCATGTCTAGCGAACGGCAGGAGTATAGTGAACTAGAAGAGATGTAGTAGCATGACTGGCGGGGCGCACCCGGTTTACCGGCGCCCCTTTACGCTCTGGATGGCCGCTAAGGTAGGGGGCGACGCTGCTGCTCCTTTTCACCCCTTCCAGGAGACTCATTTGCCCCATTCTAGTCATCGAGCTCTTCGACACACACAAGAATCTCGGTCTCTGCTGGTACCACCGGTCTCTCCGACACTGAGCCACAAGGTGCAAACATCCCTATTTGTGGCCGGGAAATGCTAGCTGGGATCACTGAGAGCGGCGTGTGATCCCCCTCCTCATACCAGCTGCCTTTTCATGGTAACAGACAAGCTATCCGGAACCAAATTCCTTATAGGCATGAGTGCAGAAATCAGCGTTGTGTCCCCGACTAAGGCTGGTCGTTTAAAGTCACCTGGGCAGTTGCTTCGTGCTGCCAATGCCTCTGCAATAGCGACATATGAGCTACGATCTTTCACTCTTGACTTTGGCCTTTGCCGCATTTTCCGGTGGGTTTTCGTCATCACAGACGTCGTTCAAGTGATCATCCGTTCAGACTTTCTCTCATACTTTGAATTGGACGTCAGCGGGAGGCGGCGCCGCCTCATCGATGGTCAGACTAGTCTCTCCAGCCCTGGAGTCCTGTCCGACATTGCTCCTATGGCCATTCGCATGCTGATACTTCCCTCACCGTTCGAAACAATCTTGGCGAGTTTTCGGAAATTAACCAAACCATGCAATTTCACTCAGCCGCCTAAACATGCAATGACACACTACATTGTCACGCATGGTCCACCAGTAGCCGCTCGACCACAGTGCCTGTTTGGAGAGCGCCTAGCGATCGCCGAACGGGAGTTTGACCACATGCTGCAGCTTGGCATTATATGCCTGTCATCAAGCGCTTGGGCTTCTCCGCTGCATTTAGTGCCAAAGCGTGATCCCAGTGACTGGCATCCTCGTGGAGACTATTGAGCATTGAACGACAGGACTGTCAACAACAGCTATCCTCTACCTCATATCCAGGGTTTCACATCATGCCTGGACAGTTGCATCATTTTGTGGACCTCGTTAAGGCATACTACCAGATTCTCGTCGAGCCCGCCGACATACCTAAGACCGCCATCATGATGCTGTTTCGTTTGTTTGAATGTGTGCGAATGCCTTTTGGACTGCGCAATTTGGCTCAAACCTTCCAGCGGTTCATTCCTGAGGTCACCCGAGGACTTGTCAATTTTTTCTGGCACTTCATACAACAATACACAGAACTGTTTTGACCACTCAGCGACCTTCTTCATTCAACTGCCAGCCCGTCCTCTGCCATTTTTTGGTTGTAAGAAGCCCAGGCTGTCTTTAATGCCGCCAAGCAAGCAGTCACAAACGCTGTGTTTCTTATTCATCCTCGCAACAACGCCCCTACTCAGTTGATGATAGATGCATTCAGCGTGGCCGTTGAAGCCATCTTGCAGCAGTGCATCAACTCCGAGTAGAGAACCCTGTCTTTCTACTCTCGGAAGCTACTTTCTGCTGACACTCGCTACAGTGTCTTCGACCGGGCATTACTATCCATCTACTCAGCAATACAGCACTTTCCCCATTTTATGGAAAGATGCTCGTTTTACGTGCTCAGCAATCATAAGCCACTGGCGCATGTTTTTTGCACCAACTCATCCAAGTATGTGCCCCGTGAAATCCCCCCATCTTGCGTATATTTCAGAATTTACGACTGACGTCTGTCACATGAAAGGCATTGACAACACCGCTGCGGATGCCCTTTCTTGTATAGTCGCGGTTGACTCTCCATCTCCAGCTATCGACTGGGCTTCATCCTTTGCTGCACAGCAGAATGATAAAAAGCTCACTACTTTTCGGGAGAGCCTCGTTCCCTACGACTACGCCTGGTGCCACATCTATTATCATCTGAGCCATCGTGGTGCGGTGTGTCAGCTGCAATACCCCGCCCTTTCATTCCCGCTTCATTATGTCGCACCGTTTTCCACTCCTTTCACGACGTCTGTCACCCCAGCATTCGGGACACTAAGCGTCTTCTCACACAGTGCTATGTCTGGCCTGGAATCAACGGTGATGTGCATGCTTTGACGCACATGTGTTTACCCTGCCAGATGAAAAAGGTCTCCTGTCAAACGAAGATGCCTCCCCAAACTTTCCTTCTACCCTGCCATCGTTTTGACCATGTACATCTAGATATTGTGGGCCTTCTACCAGTGTCTCAATGATACCGTTATATACTCAAGATAGGTGATCGTTTCGCACGCTGGCCAGAGGCTGTTCTCATTCAAGATATGACCATTGCCCGCGCCTTCATTTCTATGCGGTAGTCTCGTTTTAGCTGTCCTGGCACTGTGACAACACACCGTGGACATCGATTAGAGTCCGCGCTGTTCACTTGCCTTAACCGCATCTTGGAAGCCAGACATTGCCATACCACTGTGTATGATCCGTGTGCCAATGACATGATGAAACGCCTTCACTGCCAACTGAAGACCGCCCTGACCGCCCGCCCGCCTTATGCAATAAAGCCATTTGGATCGATGCCTTGACACTGGTGCTTCTAGGTTTACGGACTGTCATCCCAGCAGATCTGCAGTGTTCAGCAGCAGAGCTGGTGTATGGAAGTTCTCTGTGGCTCCCTGGAGACTTCTACATATCAGCGCAGCTACCGAACTAGCCACGAGAATTCCTATGTCTTCTGGACTGTGTTCAAAACCTCAGGCCCAACCCCTCTCTGACCTTCCTATCATAAGGCAATGTTTGTCCACCCTGATCTGGCAACTTTAACAAACGATTTCGTGTGCCCCAACATGGTCAGACCACCTTTAACAAGCCAGCTTACGACCGACCATTTTGCGTCCTTAACTGCACACAAAAAACTGCCCCTCTTTTACAAAAGGACCGTGAAAACACAGTCAACTTGGACTGACTTAAGCCGGCGCACCTGAAGACCACCATAAAAATCGTCTCATCTACGCTTGGCCTCCCATTGGACTACCCAAAAATGTCAGACATCAACTTGCAGTCTACACAGGGGGCGCTGAAGCACCCTCATTTGGACGGGTGCAAAACGGGGAGTGGGTGACCGCAAACAAAAAAAATACTGTATTTACTCACGTAATCCTCATACTCGCATAATTCTCTGCACCCCCCACATCACCCAACAAGGATACGATTTCTTTTATTCCTTGAGTATTTATCGAACCTCCGAAAACTGCCGCAATAATGTCGTCTGCTCGTTCCAGCCACTGGTGATGATAGTACGTGCCTTCTCTAAAGCATCAAGCGTACTATTGCACGAAGATTCAATCTAATCCAAATCTAATACAAGCCAAGCCAAAGTGGCCAGTGCGCGTTGCGGTGTGTTTTGTATGTTGTGTCGGTAATCTTGGCACGTTATGGGGCGATACTGAAGCTACACGGCTGCTTAAAGTTGCAAGTGATAGATCATGCACTAAATAACAACAACAGGGCCGCCAGTAGGCCCTTCAGAGTCTACGAGTTTTGTGTTCGCTGCTGGTGACGGCAGCTGAAAGCCACCAAGACGCGTTAGGCCTGCCGTGTGCCTAAAACTGGGATTGATGGTAAACTTTATTTCTTCAGAAGGAAACTGCGGACGATTCTGTTAAATAGCCATCAGCCCAATACTGACTTCCTACGCTTACCTTTTGAGGGCTCCTGTTGAGCAACCAACACTACCACTACGCCCACAACGCCCACAAGCTTTGCGTATGGTATTCTAATTCTTGACTATTTGCTTCCACTTTTTGTGTCTCAAATAAATCTTGCCTTGTGTTGAACCTCTGCTTTTATTGTTGAGGTAAGTTTTCATTAGTACTTCTTAAGCCTTGCTCTTAGTTGCTGGTGTGAGAATCCCGATTTGCGGCCACTTCGTTTTCTTTTTCGCTCTGTACCGTAATTACTCGAATCTAACGCGCACCTTTTTTCCGGTTAAGCGAGTTCATAAATCGCATGCGCGTTAGAATCGAGTACGAACAAAAAAATTACGGTCAATCTATTGCCATCGCAAATTCAAAATGGCCGCCCCCTACGTGCGTCGGCATGGTGCGTCGGCTATTTCTGCCTATGTGTTTCCCATGTGCGGCACTTCGTACGTGTGCTGAGGAGTTCGTCATCTAGTAGTGCATTAGCATCGACGACGTGGAAGGGCCGACTCCCAAAACTCGAGTGCACCACGATGCCGCTTTTAAAAGAAAAGTCATCGCGTGTGCAGAAACGGACGGAAATCGGGCCGCATCGCGGTCCTTCTCGAAACATGCGTGCGGGACCGGCGGAAACAAAAGCAGAAGATTGTCGACAGCAAAGATTCACGCAAAGGCTTCAGTGAACCACAGCAGGGTCGGTTTCCGTAAATTGAAAAGCTGCTCCGCGAGTATGTGCTTGAGGAGCGAGAGGCACAGCGGCCCATGACGACAGAACTGCTCCAAGTGTGGGCTATGCAATTAGTCTTAGAAAAAAGTCTAATGCGGAGCCTGTTTAAAGCGAGCAGGTGCTGGCTAATTAACTATATGAAGAGGAAAGGATCTTCCCTCCGAAGGGGAACATGCATATGCGAAAACTTTTGCGGTGAAGTACGATGAAAAGCTTTACAGTTTTCAGAGGTTCGTCCTAAACTTGCGGCGCAACAACGGCTACCTGCTTGGGCAAATCTGGAATGCCGATCAGACGCCTCTTTACTTCGACATGCCTGGCACCACAACTGTCGAGAAGAAGGGGGCGAAGCAAGTTCGCGTGCTGACATCGGTCCACGGTAAAACTACAGTGACGGCAATGCTCTTTTACACGTCAGATGGGCACAAGCTTCGCCCGTACCTCATAATTAAATGGAAGACAATCCCGAAAGGAATCGTTTTTTCGAGTGGGGTGATCGTGCGGGCCAGCAAAAAAAAAAAAAAAAAAAATGGGTGCGCGTTGCAATCGATGTCTTACGGGTTTTTTTTTTTTTTTTTTTCGCGGTGGAAATCGGGTGCGCGTTACAATCGAGGGCGCGGTAGAATCGAGTAAATACGGTACGTTTTCGTAGAAAGCTTTTCCCGCGTAATTCTCGCACGCCCCAACTTTGCATCGGTTTTCCGGCAAAAAAAGTGCGAGGATTATGCGAGTAAATACGATAAAGATGCCATTTGGTAATGACACCTAAAGCAAAAGCGCGCATTCTCTGCTGGTGGCGGTCGTCGCTCAGGCGTTTCTTTCATTCACTCCTGCGATGTAAGCCTACAAGTGCATCAAATCAAAATGTTTAAGGAACAGTTTATATCCGAGCCTAGAATTGCAGCGGTAAAATTTTGTTGGAGCAAAATGGCCGAAGAAAAAGAGTTCGTTGTGATGAGAATGCCTATGAAATTACTCGAATGAATTGCTGACGAGAAACCGAGAATTTTCGTTGTAGCAAAAATTTCGTTGAAGAGGCATTCATTATAGTGGGGTTCGATTGTATTTTCATTAACAATATTTACCACATTTCCTCTTTAATACTGCAATCTGAATATTATCTTAACATAGCAAAAATGAATGCTCCAAAATCTGTTACAGTCGAATCTCGATAATTCGAACTCGAAGGGGCACGAAAATTTGTTCGAATTAAAAGAAGTTCGTATTAATGAAAGCTAAATAAAGGGAGGGCTTTCCATGCAGTGGTGCATGTGCATTGAGCTAACACACGAGGGGGAAGTTTAAGAAGACTTACATTTATTCACTAATCACAGGACATCCGTTAATAATTGGAGTAATCGGTGATGCGCGTCTACACACTTTTGCCTTGCAATGAGTCAATAAATTTCGCACGCAGCTTGCAAAGCATGTCTACTTCGGCTTCAGCATTCTCCTGCAAGAGAAGTTGCGAGCGAAAAACGTCCAGCGCCGACACTTCCTAAGATAACGGCAACAACGACTGCTGCGTAGCAGAGCCTCCTGCTCTCCGCTACGCATCCGCAGCATGGCCAGCACGTATGGAGAAAGGAGGAGCGTCGCCACGTGGAGAGAAGCCGATCCGTATTTCAGAAAAAACCAACACTCCACGGCCACGTTTTTTTTTTTTTGCTCTTTTTGTGCACGTTCTTGAAAGGAGAAGGGTTACGTGGCAGAGAAGGGAAAGGGGGAAGCGTGGCACTGGCGCGTGAGAGCCCCACCCTCCCCTCAAGGCGCAGAGCCGTGCTCCCGCAAAGGGCCAGGGCTGCAGGAGATGGTGCCTTTTTCCTTTCCTTCAACCACACAGATTCAACCCAGCAACGGCTTTCTTTTTTTTTTATCTCTCTTTCGTCGCGCGCAGCATTGTAAAAGAGAGGGTCTTTACGTGGCAGGGACGGCGAAGGGAGAAGCGTGACTCGGGCGTGTCGCAGATCGGCATTTGCGAGAGAGCAAACATTGCACCGCAGGCTTTTCTTTCCTTTTCATTTCCTTCGCGGGCAGCGTTGACGTGTCCCAAGGTGCCACGACGGGATCGGGCGGGGTGCTGAGAGCATTTTCGGAGTGCGGTATGTTCGAATTAACCGTCGGAAGTGCTCGGCATTCAAATTACCAGGCAGTTTTCGCCCATTGGAATACACATAGCTTTGACGGGACCTCATCGTGAGTTCGAATTAACCAGAAGTTTGAATTAAGCATGTTCAAAATAATGAGATTCGACTGTATAATTTTAGAGTTCTTTTTGATGCAAACTACGTAGCATCAGCAGGTATGTGCCACATGCTTCCAATTGCAAATGTGGCTTAGATGCAGATAGGCTTTCCACTATGTTTGCATTATTGTCAGCTCTGTAACTGTTTGAATCTGATGCCATTATCGCACCAACCATGTTGTAATCACAGCATAACATTTAGTCGATATGCACAACATTATGCAAATTCTAGAACATTGAGCCAAATCATAGGAAACAAGAGCTGGTAGGAGCCCTGTTAATTGGGTTAATCTTACAGCAATCATTTGCAGCTATGGGAAATTCTGAATCTCTAAAAACATGACCACTGTAGGTGACACAAAACAAAAAAGAAGAAGTTATGGCAGATTGAAGTGCGCCAACATTCCTGCAGAGGCAAGAGTGAACACACGACATGTCTTCCCACAAAGTCCAGGCTGACCTGCAAGGCTGGCTCAATGAGCAGGTGAGCATTGAGGCCCAAGTCCACCTCCTGGGGACAGTCTGCAACAGGCAACAAGGGCTCATCAATTTCCACAACTGGCAAATGTGCATCAGCACAATAGTAAGCTACGCTAATGCACTGCCACAAGACACAAAGGTGCTCTACAGTCTGTCTAACTAAATACACATTCAAACCTTTTTATAACAAAAGTGTATCTTACACAAGAATAGGTTCATTATAATTGACAATTTGTGGTAAAGCTTCATTTTCAACACTATATCTATTGCTAAACTATTTTTCATTTACTTCGTTATAACCTGTACTTGGTTATATACGGTTTAGTTATATGCAGGTCTGAGTGTATACTGTATTTACTCGCATACTAGGTGCACATTCAGTTTGGTCGTGTGAATCAGGTTTTCTTTTATTTCTGCACACAATAGTCACGTGAATCAAGTATTTGTATTCTTTTGCATAATAGGCGCACCCCGAACTTGGCCACGATCAGAAGTGCTGTACAGTGTTTGCACGGTTGCAATTCAATGCCCTCTTACATAACTGAAGCGAGAAAAAAAAAACTGCAGCTCTGATTGAGGAAGAAGGGCGGCTGCCTGGGCATTGGAGTAACCTTTGCACCAGAGCCGGCGTGGCTCCGTTCACGTGCACTCCAGTTGAAACAAGTGATCATCACCTCATCCAATACAGTACACTCCTTTTAAGACGATCTCGAAGGGGCAACGATCATTTGTTCATCTTATCAAGAGTTTGTCTTATCAGAAGTGCTCCCAAAAAGCAAATGCTAACATGCAAAGTACGCCCAAATATGTTGCTTGAAAACAGTGAATGAAGTATACTTAATATGCGGAGGAAAAGAAAAAAAAGCATTTATTTGGCTCAGCTTGATGAAAAAAACCATGTTTTCAAGTAGAGTATTTACACTATTCTAGCATCATCATCATCATCAGCCTGACTATGCCCACTGCAAGGCAAAAGCCTCTCCCATGATCCACGAATGATTCACCAATCAATTATTCGGATTCTGTCTCATGCTTTCTGCTACTACGTTATACCTGCAAACTTTTTAATCTCATCGGCCCTGCTAACTTTTTGGCTACCCTTCGTGCGTTTGCCATCTCTGGGAATTCAAACGGTTACCCTTAATGACCAGCGGTTGTCCTGCCTATGTGCCCCCCTCATGCCCAATTTTTCTTCTTGATTTCAACTATGATATCCTTAACCCTAGTTTTTTTCTCTCACCCACTCTGCTCTCTAATTGTCTCTTAAGGTTACACCTATCATTTTCCTCTTCATTGCCCACTGCGTCATCCTCAATTTAAGCTGAACCTTCTTTGTAAACCTCCAGGTTTCTGCGCCGTAGGTAAGTACTGGCAAGATGCAGCTGTTATATACCTTCCTTTTGAGACTTAGTCGCAGAATGCTATTCATGATTTAAGAGTGCTTGCCGAATGTGCTCCACCCCAATCTTATTCTTCAAGTTATTTCAATCTTGTGGTTCAACTCTGTGGTTATTACCTGTCCTAAATAGATGTAGTCTTTTACAACTTCTAGTGCACTATTACCTATCTCTCAGCGCTGTTCTCTCCTGAAGTTGTTGCACATTACGTTCGTTTTCTTCAGTATATTGTTAACACCTACTTTTCTGCTTTCCGCGTACGGTTCTGTAATCATGACCTGTATTTCATCCCCTGAGTTACTCATAAAGGTAATGTCATCAGCGAATCGCAATTCACTAAGATACTCTCCATTCTCTTAGTCCTAACTCTTTCCAATCTAGGGTCTTGAAAACCTCCAACAAACAAGCGGTGAATAGCATTGGAAAGATCGTGTCTGCCTGCCTTACACCCATCTTTATTGGGATTATGTCACTTTCTTCATGGAGAACTATGGTGGCTGTGGAGCCACTGTAGATTTCTTCCAGTATGTTTATGTAGGGTTCGTCGATGCCCTGATTTCGTAGTGCCTGCATTACTGCTGATGTATCGACTGAGTCAAACGCCTTCTCTTAACCTATGAAAGCTATATATAGGGGTTGGTTGTATTCCACGCATTTCGCTGTTACCTGATCAATAGTATGAGTATGGTCTATTGTAGAGTAGCCTGTACGAAATCCTGCTTGGTTTTTTGGTTGATTGAATTCCTATGTCGCCTTGATTCTTAGCTATGATTTTTGTAAATAGTTTGTAGAGAACAAACAGTAAGCCGAGTCGCCTGTAATTTTTCAAGTCCTTAACGTCTACTTTCTTATAGATTAAGGTGATGTTGGTGTTCTTTCAAGATTCTGGTACCCTTCCCGTGAAGAGACACTTCGTTTTCTCCACCATCTTTAAGGAGGTCTATCGTTACCTTATCCTCACTAGCGGCTTTGTCTCTCTGCATTCCTTCTAGGGCGTTCTTTACTTTCCCTGTCATTACTGGTTGGATGTCGAATTCCTCTGGACTATTATTGTTTCTCCCGATATCATCTTGCTTGTTTTGGCTTCTGTACAGCTTCTCTGTAAAACTCCTCTGCCACTCAAATGAGTAGTACTTAATTTCACGAGTTCATATTGAATATGCTTATGAATAAATTGCTACCACATTTTAACAATAAAAATGTTGCACGATTCTATTTTGATGATTAGAAAAAGATGAAATGAAAGAGACAAGCACAATTTTTTTTTCAAATAATAAAAACTTTATTTTTCTGGCCATTCGCCTTCTGAGAGGCTGTTTTACTACCTCCGCTGCATACCACTACCTTGGCAAAACCAAAATATGCCAAGTTGCTTATAGCCTCGAGCATACAAAGACCCAACGCAGCTATATTTAGTGCAAAAAATTACATTCCTTTGCCGTGCACCTTCATAATGAAAATAGCACATCACAATTTGCTGTATTTGCATGACAAGCAGATACAACATGCACAGACCTTATTCAGAATAACATAAACTAACCACAACATGTACTCAGGCAATAACGATGCATCTGACTTCTCTGAAGGGAGTGTTAGTGCCGCATATGTGGTTTCCGTTTCATGTAATTATAATGTGCAGAGAATTTGTTCTTATTTTGCCTTTCATTTGTTTTTTTTTTCAGCCCCCCCCCCCCCCTTCTTTAGCCAAGCTTTGGAGTTCTTCTGTTCTCTACAGTACTACTGTTGGGGAACTTAAGAATGCAAGGAGGATACCAAAAGACAAACACTTTTTGTTGCTTTCTTTGCTAATAAAGCTGGCCCTTTATCCACCTACAGGGTAGGGGTGGGGGAGATACCAGCTTCATCCACTGACCTTTCTTTCCCACTTCTCTTGCTTTCTCCCTTCACATTGCAATTTGCTTGCGATTCGCTTTGAGTCTTTGCACCAGGAAGTTTTTTTTTACCATATTGATTTATCTTGTTTATCCGAATGCCCCCATCAAGACTATGTTTGTTGCGCAGAATTGCTGTCCTTGTTGGTCGCTGCGAGAGTTCGTCTTAACAGAAGAGGCCTATTACGTAGTTTGTCTTAAGCAAACAAACTTTTGTGCATTGAGTTCATGGGAAACCAAACAAACACTCCTGTGTTGTTCGTCTAAACAAAGTTCATCTTAACGGAAGCTTACTATAGTGCACTTTGCATTTCCTGTCAAGAAAAGCGTTGTCGTTACAGTATTTTGATACCTCTTCCGCAAATTTAAAAGCTCTTTGGATTCCCAATGCGAGCTTTTGCCTTTGTTGCCACTATGCAGAGGTGCACAAACTCAGTAGACTATTGTCGCCGTTGATATCCCAGTCGCGAACCTAAACATCGTATCACGCGCTCTATTCTTGAATCAGTGCTTTAGTACTATCTTTTTATTGCCAGATATTTACGATATGTAGCATGCCGCGTAACTTTCCTCGGCAACACAGAGTAAGCCTCATTGGCATGTGTTGCTTTTCGGTAAATGTTGCAGTTGATCAAAGTTGCGTTTTTTAACGCATCAACGCAAGAATACCCTCAGGGCCCGTACGGGCCCTGAGGGTATTCTAATAAATAAATAAACTCTTCTCGGTGGCTCTACTATAAAAAAAGGGGGCATGGATGGCATTTGTAACACTTGAATGGTGGTTCAAGATTTATTTACAATGTCCTTGAATATGGGATTCGAGGTCGTGAAATGAACATTCACTACCGATCAGCGCACAAAGTTTTGGTTGTGATAATGCGCATAATCTAGGCGGCCCGAAACAGGATCGGTGAATTCCTATGATGGAGGTTTCTTTTTGTAGTTTTTTTTTTCCACATTTCTTTTTCCACGCCTTGATTATCGGACACGCAAGACTGCAATGCTGAACACGTTTTGTGCTAGTGTAGACTTTGAAGAACGTTGTTTCAGCTGTAGTGCAGATATTGACACTTAAGCGACATACAATATCAGCAGTCTACGCTGTAGTTGGAAATAAAATATTCGGAAATGGTACCCCGTGTAATAGGCGCACACCAAACTTGGTGCCAGATTCCCTGGAAAAAAAAATGTGCGCCTGTTGTGCGAGTAAATACAGTATGCTCATTCTTACACAGAAAATAAGGGAACCTAGTTACTCAACTAAGTTGTCACGAATGCATGACCCACTATTTGTCCACAAGTTTTGGCGTTTCACTAATCTGCTGGTTGCCACTTCTCGTACTCCTTCTGATGTGCTAATGAATGCAATGCCTGTTTCTTTGACAGTTACAACTGCATGAGGCTCCTGCTGTAGGAAACGTGTTAAGCAAGACGGAAAACTGGATGTAAAACTGGATGTTTTTTTTTTTTGCCACAAATCGTACCTAACACACCGTCCTTTTGTGTCCTTTCTTACACTGGACTAGTTGGTGAAGATTCATTATGGCTAACAGAACGAAACACCCAGACACAGTACAGTGCTCACTTCTAAGTGAATTTTTATCGAAAAAACGTACACAACATATGAGCAGAACACCTCGTGACTGATCCGGCCCCTTCATTCCATCAAAATTATATGAAGTGCATCAAAGTTTTGTCACGTGAACGCGATGCCGCCAAAAATATATCTTGTACGTGGACGCGATGCCGCCAA